GGATTACGATAACTTAATCGGGTGCGACCAAAAGCCCCGTTTAACGTCGGTATCGGGTAGAATTCCACCATGTCCCAAACTTAGGACCTATTTAAGGCTCAAAAGAATTCATTTGAAGCCTTTTTCTCTCTCTCTCACTACTATCTCTCTCTAACCTCTCTCCTCAAAAAAATCTAAGGGTCCAAAATCATCAAATTAAAGCTTCAAATCATCAAGGTATCTACCCCAACTCCTAGTATATCATCCTTAGCCATCAAATTTGTGATTTATCTATGATTTAGGACCATGTTTATGTGTTTACGTCCCTGGAACATGCTTGGGCCGTAAACACACATAAAGGGGGTTTTTATGCCTTAAAACCCTTCCTAAACACCATTGAGGCTTAGATATGGCTTATAGAATTATCAAATTGGACTTGGAACACCTTGAACATCAATTTCGAGGAGTAAACATGAGTTTACTTCCCAAGAACATGCTTGGGCCGTAAACTCATTAACGTGGAGAGTAAACTCCTTCTAAGGTGTTAAATTGCCACTTACACACCTCCTAAGCCTTGAACAAAAATCTAGAAGCAACCACAAATGAATTAGAAGCCTTAAACTCAATGAAAACACCTCCCTTAGGAGTTCACATCCGTAAACCCCCCCTATAAAGGGTTCCTGGGCTGTAAACTCACAAATCATGGTCAAATGATGCCCTAAATTCCAGTCAAGGCTTGTAAAATGAGTTTAAATCACATGTGGTTGTCCTAGCACCACCAAAACACATAATGAAAGAATATGGGGGAGTTTATGGCCATAAACTCCTAGTTTACTACCGTAAACTCCATTAAATGTTCCATAAGTGACGTAAATCCATTCCTATGCCCTATAATTGATTCTAGCTAATTTTCCCAAGTCATAGAAAGCCATTTAGCAGCATAAAACCCACACCCATGAGTTCACGGCCATGAACTCATGTGGAGTTGGTCTTAGGGCCGAAAACTCCATAAGGGGGTTTGCTCTCGAAGAGTAAACACATTATCCAAGCCATATGTGTCCTTAAATGCCACCCGGGTCCCTCCAAACGCTTGTAATGGAGTGTTTTCGCGATTAGAAGTGTTTTTCCTTAGCTAATAAATAATTCAAGTCCTAATTAGATACAAATGTGTATCATTTCACATTACATAGGAATCTTGTGTGTTTTCAAACCCAGAACTAACGTTTAGGATCCAAACGGACGCGTTCCTCAACCGGTGAGTTCATACCCCTACCCTTTTTCAAATGTTTTTCAAATGTTTTCAGGGGGGGGGGAATACAAGCAAAACTACAAGGAAATATTGTACTTAAACTTATTATTTTCTGTTCAAATGTTTCATATTTTGTATACTTTTAATACTGAAAATCATACTAACCATTTGTTCGAATTGCAGAGTGAATTGTCAAACTAAATGTAGATTCCTTTAATAGATGGTATAATCTAAGTTTCATATTATGTTTTGTATAAGGAATCATACTAATCATAAACTAAGAATATAGCTAATAGGATAGAACGAATACGAATACAAATACGAATATAACTAATAGGATAGAACGAATATGAATACGAATACGAATACGAATACGAATAGAATAGATATACGAATACAAATACGAATACGAATATGAATAGGTATACGAATACAAATTACAATAGGAATAGGAATAGGTATCTGATTACGAATACGAATGCACGCCTTTGGATGACGCCAAGACTTCGAATATACAACTAGTGTACCCCTTGAGTGTCACCAGAGTTTCATAATAAATTCGACAGTACGCCTCTGGACATCGACTGTGTTTCGAATACATATGCCTTAGGATGTCGACAGAGCTTCGAAAATACGTCTAAGGTACTCTTTTGGAAATCACCAGAACTTCGAAAATACTGTTAATGTACGCTTCTAAATGAATCCAAATATTCGAAAATACCTCTAAGTATAGCAGATAATCAACAATCGAATGTAGGATAACTAAGATATCAGAATACTTAACTAATACTATAAGTAAGGTAGTTACTAATACATCGAAATCTAAACTACTAATTAAGTATCAAATGGACAGCTAAACACTTAGGGAAATATAGGATTTTCCTGGAATAACGTAACAACTCGTAAACGAATTAAGTAACGAAATGATAACTAAACTGTTTTTACATAAGAAAATATGGGATTTTCTCGGCTAATAACTTTTTCAGAAACCAAAAAGGGAACTCATTCTTTTCATAACAAAACCGCTTATGAACTCACCAGCTTTATGCTAATTTTCAAAATGCTTGTATTCTCAGGTCAACATTAGACAGGTACACCGCCACCTTTTGGAGAAGACGGAGCATTAGAAGACTCGTCTTTGTTTTTGTTAATATGATATATGTATATAACACTTGTATAAATTTTCTTTCAAACAGATGTAAACAATTATATGTAATGTAATGTTTTGTGTTTACTGTGTTACTATGTACATTGGAATTGATACACAACAAGGAGTCCGCCCCGGAAATGTTTCCTCCTTCGGTTTCCGGGGTGTTACAGTATACGCCCATGTTCATACGTACCAGTTATATTACTAGTAAGCTACCATAGGGGTAGTTTAGGAAGATACTAGGACTATTACTAGAACGCAATATCATACAATGAGGCAGTTCATTCATGAGTCAATACTTGCTAGATAGAGAGAACATACATTACAGCTAGTACACACAGTACATTACTATACATGCTAGATAGAGAGAGAGAACACACGTTATAGCTAGCACACCCAAAACATTACAGTACATTACTATACTATTACATAGATATGTTTTTACATGATTACGCTTACATGAGTACGTTTACATATATACGTTTACATGAGTGCAGTTACATATACTTTGATAGGACAGACATCACTAGGTGCTATAGCATATAACAAGTTTAGGATCTGACTATACCGATGAATTGCAACGCATTGTGATAGTTATATCGGGTATACATGATCATAGTAATGTGTGAAAAGACCTTAGATCAATCGATTTATCAAACAATGACTAATAATAAGAACAAAACAACAAAATATCACAAAGAGCTTTCACTAAGAATGATAATCTCACAAGGAGATTATTGTTCGCACAAAGCGGCTATTAAGGTTTGTGAAAGACAACCCCTTCACAAACCCGTACAAAAGATTATATAGAACTATTATAGACAATCCCTACAAATCAGGGATGTTCCAGCTAACTAATATATGATAACTATGGAAACAAGATAAATACTAAAGCTGTTACATATAAAACAATATATATACTGAACAACTTTTATGATGACGCTGATACTGATGCTGATGGATCAGTTTCAAACATCATCATATTATAAGGTTCGACCTTACAATCTCCCCCAATATGATGATGTTCAAAACAACAGCTATACGAGAACACCTCTGGACAAAACTTATTCATACTCAGCTTCAGCTTCTATTTTCACAGGCCAGTAAGGACTATCCAACAGCTCCTGTCTTCTATTCAGCAGCTCCATAGCAATCAGTATGTGAAACTCTCTAGATAAATCTTGATGACTCATGCATATTTGTCTTAAGCCAACAAGATGTGCTGTTGGAACTCTTGGAATTTCTGTGGTGCGCTGAAAGCACGTTCTTCTGTTTTTATCGAGATAAAACATTCCATGTTCAGGAACAGAGATGAACTTATGTTGAACCGGCTCAACACCGATAGGAAAAGAGTTGTTTATTCCTTCAGCACCAAAATTTAGAACCAACACATCTTCACCATCAACTTGAAATCTGGTCCTTCGGATTCTAGGAACTGAGGAACTTTGGCCTTGCTGCTGAGAGTGTTGCATAGGAACAAGATCCAAACGCTGAACTTTCTTGATCAGTAGATGGAGAGCACATGTCAGTTCTGAAGAGAGAGTTGAAGATTGCTTGGATGCTAATTCGAGCAATTCCATCCATTCAGAATATCCGTATTTGATCAGCTCATCCCTCTTGACAACTTAAGTGTATGGATGTTGAGGACCTTGACGAGTGATCAGCAATGTAAGAATTTTCTCATTATGAGGTTTAGAAGCTTTAACTTTGATGATTTTATCACTGCTCACTCATCGTTTAAGAACATCTTGAAACCTCTTTCGATCAATCATGTCTAGAACATTTTCAGTCGTTGACTTGCTGCTACTGGGAGGAGGCTGGGAAGATTTGGATTTGGATTGATATTCTAAGAACTTCTGCATCTGAGCTTCAAATGATCCTTTGGCCTGAAGTAGATGTTGAATGAGAGATTCATCAGCTTGAGCAATATTCTTTAGAAGCTGAGCTTGATTGGCTTCATCAAGAATTTGCTTAACTTGATTAGGAGACATGTTCCATTCAGCTGCCAAGCTGGATATACTGATGATGGACTTAGGTTTCTTGCTAGGCAGAGAAGTATTAGTGTGTGAAGAAGCCAATTCAATATCTGTTGCCTTGCGCTTGCGAGATAGAGGTTGAGTATCCTCACTAGCTACATCTGAATCTTCTCCGTGGACTGGCATAATGGGATCAATGAATTTCATATCTAGCATTTGACATTCATCATCATGTTCATCTTCATTATCCTCTGAGGCTTCTCCTTGAGCTGGAATAGTGGGATCAATGAAGTACATGTCCAACATCTGACACTCATCATCATGTTCATCATCATGCTCACTATCTTCAGCAAGCTTTTCAGTATCTGCTGGTCTATCAGGCTCCTCAGCAACTGGTCTATCAGACTTATGCACAGGCTGTGGTGGCTCAGTCTGGTTTAAGGTGTTATCCTCAGATCCGAGCTCAACAGATTCAGTGTCTCCCTCTTTTGGATCATCATCATCATCATCAGTTTCTCCCCCTTTTTGATCATCATCATGTTGTGGGCCAGGGGAAGGAGTTGGCAAAAGAACTCCCTTCAGTTGATGGACATCGGCCTCAATTTGTAAAAGACGTTGACTCATGTCCCGAGTCAGTGTAAGTAGCTCATTGAATGTTGAGGCTGGTATATGAAGGAATGGAGTACCTAGAACTTGTTGGGAGAAAGGTTGCTCCCCCCGGAGAAGGTTGCTCCCCCTGGGAAGGGTGCTCCCCCTGGGATGGTTGCTCCCCCTGAGATGGTTGCTCCCCCTGAAATGGTTGCTCCCTTTGAGCTGAGTGAACTCTCTCAACGATAGAAAGAGTATGATGAGAAAGTTGAGGGGAGAGATGACCACCATCCTGTGATTCAGCTTCTTGATCAGCATGATCATCGTTATTAACATCAGCTCCTTCATCAGTATCAACGGTTAGTGAAGGAACAGTATATGGATTTGCAATCCATTCTCTCATCCGATCAGAGATGCCGATGTCAGTTTCCAACGGATCATCCTGATACATTCGCACCTGACATGCGTGGGCATTGGATGGGGTTTCCAGAGTGTGAGTAGTAAGCTTCAGCGAAAAATTTATCTAGCACAAGAGCAATCCAGCGTGGAAAGGGGACATGATCAGCGCGTACATTTGCACGAAGAAGTTGAACAAGCTGATCAAAGAAGAAAGCCCCATAATCAAGTCGTTTGTTGAGAAGAAGGGAACAGACGACTTGTTGCTCATAAGTGCTCAGTTGATCACCACTGCGAGATTTGTGACCCACACATTTGCACAGAGCACCGGTGAAGAACTTCCATCCTGGAGTCATACATTGATGCAGAATGAGAGCTGATCGAGTACCAGCCTTTGAGTGATCATATCCCAGTTGATCAAAGAGACGTCGACAACGTTCAATAGGTGGAAGCTCAGAGAAGGGTTCAAAGATTGGTAACCTGAGCGCAGCACTGAGGAGGTCAGCGGTAATAAAGACTGAGTGTCTTCCACGGCCAATAGTCCCGGAGATGACGTTGTTTTCATCATTAATTGTTGCAGTGTAGTAGAACTCACAGACTTGTTCGGGAAAGAACTCTGATGGAACGTCACTGATTGCGTATCGGAGTCGGCAGGAGACTAAGAAATTAACAAAATCATCAAGTCCAAGACCTCGATGAACATCTGGAATATCAGGGTTGAAAACTACGTTGGTGGCTTTGATGTATATGGGAAGAGGAGGAGAGTTTGGAGCTGGGACGACTCTTCTTGAAGTGGAGGAGAAGGTGAACAGTGATGCCGCCATTGAAAAAGTTTAGGATTCTAGGTTTTTTTTAAGAGAGAGAGAAGATTGGAGGAAGGTAAAAAGGTTTGGGGAAGAGGTGAAAAGGTTTAAATAGGGAATGAAACGGTAAAAAGTAATGATTATCTTTAGCGAAAATAACTGCGTATCTTGCCAGACTGTCAAATCAAAAAAATAGCCGTTGGGTAAATAGAGCCGTTGTACCAAAGAGGAAACGACAATCAGTGACTGCGGAAGCGCTGAGATTGCTATCACGGAAAGTTACATGCTGAAAGATAGTTTGTCTCAATTCAAGGTACAACTTGCTTGTTTAGGGTTAGCAAGGTGATTGGTGCGTGTGATAGATACTAGTTTAATTATCTAACCATCGCACAGAGTGTCGAGTCTTTATCAGTGAGTGGTATTTCTTACTGAATCATTAGACACTGAGTGAGAAGAAGGTGAAGAGAGGATTGTTGCGTGTGATAGACACTGGTGTTTTGGTCTAACCATCGGCAAAGATTGTTAGATTCTCATCAGCATGTGTTTTGTCACACCGAATCACAGAATCAGTGTAAGATTGGTAAGAGTGGATAGTTGCGTGTGATAGAACTTGGTGTTTTGTCTAACCATCGACAAAGACTGTTAGATTCTCATCAGCATGTGTTTTGTCACACCGAATGACAGAATCAGTGTAAGATTGGTAAGAGTGATAGTTGCGTGTGATAGAACTTGGTGTTTTGTCTAACCATCGGCAAAGAGTTTCAAGTTGTTATCAGTGTATGGTTTAATACAGTGAATCATTCAACTTTAGTTTAGAAGATTTGTAGAAGAGAGAGAGAGATAAGAGATCATACAATGAACTCAGCATGCTAAACATCATCAGCGCATCATCATCAGTACAAAAAACATTAGTGTATAAGATAATAGCAAACATTAGTAAAACAATTTTTCAATCGAGAGTGATCATTCCAAGTTCGCCAATGATGTGAGCATTAGTTTGAGTATCCAGGGCCTTGGTGAAAATGTCAGCTAGTTGATCGAAGTCTTGACATGCTTTAAAACAACCTTGCCCTTCTCAACATTGTCTCTGATGAAGTGATGTCTGATCTCTATATGCTTTGTCTTTGAGTGCTGAACCGGATTCTGTGTGATCTGAATGGCACTGGTGTTATCACAGAATATAGGAGTCTTTGTGAATTTAAGCCCATAGTCTAAAAGTTGATTTTGAATCCATAGGATTTGAGCACAACATCTCCCAGCTGCAACATACTCAGCTTCTGCAGTGGAGATAGCTACTGAGGTTTGTTTCTTGCTGGACCAGCTGATTAGTCGATTTCCAAGGAAGTGACATCCACCTGACGTGCTCTTCTTGTCTAAGTTGCAACCTGCATAGTCGGAATCAGTGTATCCAAAGAGTTCAAGCGCTAGTCACGAGGGTACCACAGTGCCAAGTTTTGAGTGGCCTTTAAGTATCGAAAGATGCATTTGACTGCAATAGATGAGACTCCTTGGGATTAGCTTGAATCTAGCACAGAGAATGGTTCCAAACATGATATCAGGGGACTTGCAGTGAGGTAGAGAAGAGATCCAATCATTCCTCGATAAAGAGAGTATTAACATCAGCACCGGTGGGATCAGCGTGTAGCTTATCAGTCTTGGACACTGGAGTAGAAGCTAGTTTGCAGTCGCTGAGAGAATACTTAACTAGCATGTCAGCAATGTATTTACTTTGACAAATTGAAATACCTGATTTTTGTTGTTGAACCTCAAGACCTAAGAAGAAAGTCATCTTCCCCATCATGCTCATTTCGAACCTTTGAGACATGATCTCAGCGAATTCGTTTGCTCAGCTTCTCATTTGGATCCAAAGATGATGTCATCGACATAGATTTGAACAAGAATCATTTCTGAGCCTTTCTGTTTGATGAAGAGAGTATTGTCAATTGCTCCTCTTCTGTAGCCATTTTCAAGAAGATATGATGTCAGTGTCTCATACCAGGCCATGGGAGCTTGCTTCAGTCCATATACAGCTTTATCTAGTCGGTACACATAGTCAGGGTGCTCTTTGTCTTCAAAGCCTCGGGGCTGTTTGAGAAATACTTCTTCTTGTAACTCACCATGAAGAAATGTCTTTTTGACATCCATTTGGTAGACAATGAAGTTCATGTATGAAGCGTATGCGAGAAACAGTCTGATTACTTCAATGCGGGCAACTGGAGCAAAAGTCTCCCCGTAGTCATGGATTCAATTTGAGTGAACCCCTGAGCAACAAGTCTTGCTTTGTTGCGAGTACTAATACCATCTTTATCAACTTTGTTGCAGTAGACCCAGCGTGTTCCGGTGATTGTCTTTCCTGATGGTTTGGGAACAAGTGTCCAAACCTTGTGACGTTCGAACTCGTTCAGCTCATCTTGCATGGCCTTAATCCAGTCAGCGTCTTGAAGAGCTGAGTGTATCTTGTTAGGTAAAATCATTGAAACGAAATTAACGGACATGCTAAAATTATTAGATACACGAGATCTGGTTTGGACACCATCATGAAGATTCCTAATAATTTGATCAACAGGATGATCTCGATGTCCAGAGCTGATTCCAC